AAGCGAAACTGTTTTTCTAATATATATATATATTTTATACATAGTATACATAGGTATATGGGCAATTCTCCTGAAAACTTGAACGTGCACATTCCCTTTACAACATCCACAGTAAATAGCTTTCTTTATTTCAAATCATAGTTGAGATGAGCTAAGCTGAGTGTGAAAAGGTTGCCGAACCTGAACTAGGCAGAAAATATCCAATAAAATGATAAACTGAAACAATGGGGGGATTTTTTGGTTAAAAAATCAGTATTTTTATAGGTATGAAAACGTTACATTCACTAGAGACAGTTTTCATCCTAAGATTTCTCTAGGAATTATCTGCATCTCATTTTCGGAATTAAGGGTAAATACTGATCTTAAACAGAACTTTCATGATAACTGATAAATATATGCTTATAACGGCCCATTTCCTCATACAATGACATAACATTTGGTCTTAAACGCCACATGTCTCGTCCGTAAAAAGGAAAAAAATAGTAACCCTATCTTCAGTTTTGTCGATAGTTTAAAAAGTGTAATTTTTCACTGTAGAACTAGAAATACGATCACTTTAGTTATTCCATCAACGAAGAACAAAATTACTTTACCGATTACGAATTTTTTGCAATAAATAGCCGCGTCTGTGACTTTTTGTTACGTTGCAACGATTAATATCTGCGTGTTTACTTCTGCCCGAAGTGGTTCAAAATTTTAGTGCGGTGTTTTTATGTCAAATGTATTGATTTCCAATCAACTTGGCTTTTATCTATTCCCCGGCAAGACAACGGTGTCTATAGAAAGGGAATAGGAATGACTTCGTCACGCAATTTTAGCGGTGTAACGATTAAGATGTAAATAATGATTAAGACTTGAATTGCTTTAAAATTTGCTTTCTTTGTTATATGACTGCATAACGTGTGATTGATTAGTGAAATCTAAAATTCCCTAAAGGAAATGGATGAGTTTGGATCCATGCCAAAATGAGGAGTGTTAGTTTTCTTAGTGTTTGTTCTTTCGAAATATAAATTGGACAAATTGTTTGATTTCGTCATCTTAACGATTTAGACTTGGTCTTTGTGCTTTATCTTTATAGAATGCGTAGCTACTTTAAGAATGATATTTTACGACTTTCATGCGTTGGTGCCACCGATTTCTAGTTTTTAGGTTGGCAATTGGGGGCAATTGAAGTTGACAACATGTTATCGTTGCCTGAAGCATTACAAACAAGGACAAGGCTGCTTGGCTCGGTGTTTCAAATATTTAAGATCGAACATCAATAACTTAACTTTGCAGATAGACTCTGTCAAGGGAATACAAAGTAGGCATTGCAAGACGAGGTGTAAGCACCGGGAACGAGGTGAAGAGGGTGATGCAAACGATGTGACGTCGTACGAGGTTTTCCATGTCAATTTTAGTTTCAGTTGAAAATGAACAGAGAAAGATTGACGTCGTTTCACCTGATCGACGAGGTAACTCCAAGGAGTAAAGAAAGAAAGGAGTAGCCGAACCCAATTAATTATATGCGTGATTAGTTTGGTAAATTTCACCACTTGAAGAGGATAAATTTACCAGACAACGAAAGCAGATGTGCACATTGAGTTTGTATGAGTCATGATTCCTTTTTTATCTGCATGCATGAAATGTTGTTTGTGGTTAAACTCACCTGGAGGACTTCTAACTTCAGACATCCTATCTTGATGATTGAGAAAGAAAGAATGAGAGACCGATGGAAAAAAATGTTAAGAAGGGAATGTTATGGAGACCTAATCTATAAGTAGATCTTAGTCTCAAATTAATTGAAAAGAGGCCAATTCTATGATGTCTTGCTTTGAATAAAAGTAAATGCAATGTGTGCTTTGCTTTTATTTTTCATTTTCGTTTTGACAAACAGTTTTCACTAACTTTCCTCGTTTCCCTTTCTTGTTATCATCACTGAAATTATGTAGATCTACTAGTGCCAAGCATGCTGTCAATAATGTGCCCGTGTGCACACATGCGCATTTCAAGCGATGAAAGCGATTGTACATCGGCCAGAATTTCTCCTGGTATCTCCTCGCTTCGTGCCGTTCTTGGTACGGCTGGTAACGTCCGTCTTTTCCTTTGTTTCTATTTTGAATTTTGATTGCCCCGCCCGTGCTGCTTCGCTTTGTCCACAGTGTAGCTTTAAACCCTTTGTTTTCATCAAAAGTTAATATTGACTTTAACAAGAGAAAAGTAAGTTTATACACTGGTCTTTGCAGTTATACAGACTAAATTATTTTGACCAAAGATTTGGTAACAAGTGTTGTCCCAATAATATTTAGGACATAGTAAGACTAGCAAGACCACATAAGTGAAAAATGACATCGTTTTATATTCACTTTATTCATATACATTCTAAAACAAAAATTTGTGACTACTTTTTCTGTTGCAAATTATTTAAATAAATGAATACAAAAAATTATTGCAGCAGAATCTTATTTTCAATCGAGTATAGCACAGGTTAATCTCTTTTATTTCAGTTACACAACTGTTTGGGACTTTATTTTTTCATCTACCTCTCCCGCTCCCACATTCTCTTTCTAACTATACAGTGCGTGCTCTGCACTAGAGATCTCTGAATGCATTGCTTTCAAGTACCGATATTCCGAAAAGAAATACCCAGAGTTTATTACAATAAAATTTAAGACTGAGCCAACTAAGAAATACCAGAACCGATTCAAGAAAACAAAGGGTGACATCTATGTGCAATCGTAAAGAGCTGAAGGCGTTTGGCTGGGAAAAGAAGGTGGCAAATCACAAGGCAAAGACCGACGAACAAGATAAGAAATGTAGGAAAAACAAGAAGGAAAAACCTCACATTGGCTACCACTACCACTAGCAAACTTACAAAACGTAATTTTGCTGGGCTAGTGATACTAAAGAAAGCAATGGAAACCCTACGCAAAAGAGGTAACAGCATCTTGGTCAAGTCAGAAGGAAAGGGCAGACAATGCTAAGCTAGAAGAAGGTACCATTCTATAAAGGAAAAGGGTGAAGACGCAGAGAAGATGAAAAAGAGGTCCAATATATTCGATGAAGTGTCATACAGACACCCACATCCTGCAAACAAGCTGTCCACAGAGTTGTGAAAGTCTTTCCAAAAGAAAAATCAGCTCGAAAGCAAACTTTGCAAGATGTACTTCAGAAAACTCTTTCCCAACACAGCAGCAAAAGGACATATTGAAATTTCTCATCCTTGCTGAGTGCAGTTGGACTTCGAAAAGGAGCTAGTAAACATTTCATTCACTTGTGTCATGCTCAATGGCAATGTTGCGTGTTCTTGAAATCATAAAAAGCTGTTAGAGAAGTAGAGGTCCATACTGTGATGAATTTGATTCAATCTTCCTGTTCGGGCTACGGACAAGGAACTATTCTTCCAGAGTGTGCCAAATGTAATGCTACAAAACTCACAAAACCGTTGTGGTCTCTAATAATCTTCAACATGAACACCATGCTGTGGAAACATTTTGGGAAATGAACATCACAGAAAGATATAACACTATTTGCTGCCATGAATAACGATTTATTTTGACAATGTTAGTAGCGATCAAGGAGATGTGAATACTTTGTTTGATATTCTGCTACTGTTGCTTCGGTGTTTGCTTCTCCTGCTGCTGCTGGTGCTGCTGGTGCTGCTGCTGCTGGTGCTGGTGGTGGTGCTGCTGCTGCTGCTTCTGCTACTGCAGCTCCTCCTCCTCCTACTCCTACTACTACTACTACTACTACTACTACTACTACTACTACTACTACTACTACTACTACTACTACTACTACTACTACTACTACTACTACTTCTACTACTTCCTGCTACTGCGGTTGCTTTTACTATTGGGAAAATCAATTTCAGTTCAGTTTGGATTTCATGTTTCACTGTGTAATTGCCAGAAGATTTTTGTCTCGTAAATTGTAAGTTTCTATAACATTGTGCTCAATGAGTCAATACGTTTAGGTCTTTTTCTTTTAAAAGAATAACAGATAGCATCAAAGAAGTATTTTAATACATGTTTTAGTTATCAGTAGGTGTGCATATTATTTTTAAGAAACAAATTGTCCTTTTCCTGCACATTTCTGTTTTATCTTTTGTACTGAAACGTTTAAGACTACTACATTTAGCTATTGTTGCAGCCAAAATTCTTATCGATTTTGTTCATATTTGTGGAAACTATAGCATTGAATTACCTGTTTTATAGCAATTCTTTTTAAAGTTCTACTTTTATTAGTATTTTTGTAAATAAAAGTCTAGTATTCTTTTTGAAAAATAATTTTGCCCGATAACGTTAAAGACACTAAGATAAGCATTTTCTTCTCTAAGAAATGTTTTGAAATTTGTGTGAACATGTTTTGAAATTTGTGTGAACAAACAATGAATATAAAAGACATTGTGCTTCCCCAATCAGTTTTTCTTTCCCTCTTTTATAACAGATAGTGTCAATTGCCACCGAGTGAAGCGCTGACAATTGACAAAAAATGACTTTTTGACACTACCATTATAATATTGGGAGACCATCATAGCAGCGCACTTTCGAGAAAAAAACTATCAAAGCTGCGCACTTTTTGATGATATCGATACAATTAGATTCTGTTTACCAAAACCAATACCATCCAACACTTTAAGTAGCCTTAGTACTTTACAGGATTTGGAACCAGCATAATATATCAATTGGATTTGTATTGGATGAAATAGCTTTTCAGATATTAAAACATATCTACAGGACAGGGACGATCCTTACAGTGTTGGGGCAGCCATATCTTGCTTAATTAGGATAAAAATAGAAGTAGTGAGACATGCCCATATGCGAAATATTTGTTTGTTACTCATTCTCCCTTCATTTTCTTGGTAGTTTCTTTCTATTTGACCTCTGTGTTTTAGTTTCAGCACAGAAATGGTTTGAAAGTCTCTTAACGTCTCTCGAAAGATTAATATTATATATGGATGGGGGCTGTACAGAGTAACTATGTCAAGGGGACTGTAACTGTTGGATGGAGTCGGCAATCTAATTGCATTGGCATCGTCATAAAGTGCACGGCTTTGATAGTTTCCCTTTATATTTTATGTTTTGGCCGGTATTGTTGTGTCCTGTAACGTTTAAGACCATAGCGCACAAGTCTAAACTTTACTTCCATTTCCAAAGAAACCAAACAGCTTTAGCTTCAGCCTTGTAGTTTTTAAAACTAGACATGTCAAAGGTATACTGAGTACATTTTCAAGCTAATTAGTTGAATTCTAAAATTTGATGCCCGTGTTACGAAAATTTCATGTTTTTTTTAGGAGAATTACCCTATATATATATAT